GATATTAAATCTTTCTAGTAGTCCTGCTTTATATTCTGTGGTTAAGCTATAGTTAAGCTAGATAAAGAAGTGTGGTAGGCATATTACAACCTATTCCTAACACGTTCCTAATATATTCTAGGCGTTAATTATCTATAAGGGCAAGGATCTCTATTTAAAATCCTATATAAAGTTACCTTCTAAGTAATTATACTAATAGATATAGTAGTAATACCTTTTTTTACTATTATTTCTTTTAGTATATATATATATATACCTCCTCCTCCCTTAACACTATCTAATAGTAATATTAAGGAAGTAGTAAAGGTATTATAGCCTATACTTACTCTATAGCTTATATAATATAAGTTATTTATAACCTGTTATAAATGTGTTCCTAACTTATTATAGCCTAGTTCCTAAACTTAACCTAGCTCTAAACCTATCTCTAACTTAAAGGTTTCTATTCTATTAAAGAAATATATATTAGCTTTATAAATAAAGATAAAATCTTGCGTATTATAAAGCGTAAAAAGCTTCTATAGTTCCTATTTAAGAGTAGCCTTAGAGGAGTATACTATAAGTAGAGGATAAAGTATTAGGATCCTAAAACTATATATAGTGTAAAAGAATAGGTTTAGAACACGTTGCTAATACGTTACTATAGGCGTATATATAGCAAATCTTTATATTAAGCTTAGGTAACTTAATTATTTACCTTTTTAAAGAGTAGGTATTAATTCTATTAGATTAAGACACGTTCTAGATAGATATATTATATAAGAGGTTATATAGGGCATAGGTAGAGATTCTAATAGTAATCTTCTACCTGTAGGAAAAGAAGCGTACGTATTAAGAATAGGTTTATAACATGTTTCTAATATATTATAGTTATTATACTTAGCTAAATTATTATAGATAAGGATATAACTAAGATATATTAAGTTGCTATTACTAACTTCTTTTAGAAGTGTAAAGCACTTATAAAAAGACAAGTGTTATAGAGGTATATTTACTTATAGGGATTCTATAGGACTACTATTAATATGTGTAATAAGTAGATAATAGGCAAGTTTTATAGCGCACTATAATATATTTATAACGTGTTTCTAACTTATTTCTAGGACTTAGGCGCTATCTCTAGTTAATTAATCCCTATAAGCGTAACTAGTGCTAGCAACTTTAATCTTGTATAAGATTTTATTAAGTATATCTATAAAGAAGTATTTATAAAGCATGTAAAAGAGAGCTAGATAATACTACCTCTTTACGTCTAAGTAAATTACTACAGGTATTAATAGTAGAGGAATACTTTTAGCTTACTAACCTCCTCTTATATAAGTAAATATATTCTAAACCTATTCTAAACGTGTTCCTAACTTATTCTTATATAATTAGAATACAAACCCTCTAAAGATACCTAAAACTAGGTAATCTATAAGAAAAACCTAGTAATTGCTACTAGGATTATATAATACTATAGTAAAATATTAAAAGAGGTATAGGAAAAACTAGAATCTTATTTAAATATAGCTAAGCAAGCAGGCTAGAAAGGATATAAAACTAGTAAGCATATAAGTATTCTTAAGGCTACTTAGAAGTAAGTTTATAACCTATTCTTAACCTGTTAGAATTATATAAGTAATATTGTGTAGTGCACACTAGATAGATCTGCAGGATATAAAAGAGTTTAAAGCCTAGAGCAAGTTTAGAATACGCTATAACTATAGAACTCCTAATAGGCTTAAGCAAAGGTACCTTAAAAAGCTTTAGAGGGGAGAAAGTAAGTCTTACGCTAGCGTTATATATATTTGCTAATTAAAACGTGTTTAGAACGTGTTTAGAACGCGTCCTATAATAATAATAACACTCTAGATAATAATAAAGCAAGTCTTGCTATATCTAACTTAACTAGATATATCTTAGTCCTAATAAGAAATAAAAGAGCACGCTTAAAAGCCTAAAGCTAGAGGGCAAGTAGTAGAGTGGTATTAGAAAGAAGTTTACTAGCCCCTTTTCTATCTTCTCTACTACTAGGCTCTTCTCCTCTACTAATAGTAACCTAAAGGTATGCTTTGCAAAACACGTTTATAACACGTTCCTAACTTATTATTAGTCTATAACTATAAACTTTGTAATAAAAGGCTCTTCTTAGTAATTAGGCTCTAAAGGAGAGAAAAGAAAAGCTAGAGGTAGATAAGGAAGAACTTATATAGAAAAAGGCACTATTTAAATTATAAAAGGTATAGTTTAAACTTAAGAAAGAGATAGCTACTTTTTATATAAGGCAGGGTTAGTCTATAAATATAGTAACTAGTTCCTAACTAGTTCTTAATATATTCTAGTCTATTATATAAGTATATATAAGTAGATAAATATATATTCTTTCTTCTTCTCTTTCTTCTTCTTTCTTCTTACACTCTATAAGAACTTTTTATATTTAAGAGTTTAATACTATTTTACTATCTATCTTTCCTAATATTATTAGATATAACTAGTTAATATAGTCTATAAAAATCTTTTAAAGTTAGTATATAATAGAACGCGTTAAGAATATGTTATAAACTTGTTCTAACACTAAGTAGGATTTATACTAGCAATATATTAAGCTTAAGTTACTTCTATCTAATACTAGGGCATTCTCTCCTATAATATCCTACCTAAATAATAGGTGTATAGTATTTCCTAGTAAGCTTTTCTACTAGGCTATTTAGGCTAGATTAGGGGTATAGGAACTTTGTAGAGTATATATACATGCAAGTTAGAACATGTTTATAATATATTAATAACTATTTTAGCGTTACTTCTCTAATAGAGGCAATCTTATCTACTACTTTAAGAAGTATTATCCTAAGGTTTAAATAGCCCTAGTAAACTATAGTAGAACCACAATATAAGGCATTACAGAAGCAAGGATCTTCTATAGGAGCTTAATAGTAAATACTTAAGAATATATTCTAAACACGTTAATAATACGTTCTCTGCTAGTAGAGTAGACTACACTAAGTGCCTCCTCTAAGGTTTAAGAACCCTCTAAGATAGCTAGTCTATAATAAGAAGTAGTAGCTAGAGTAGAGGCTAAAGAGGAAGTAGAGAGTAAAGAAGAGGAGTAAATAGTTGCTCCCCTTTACACTATAAATAATATTTAGCAAAAGTAGCAAAAAGGAGATATAAGTCTAGTCTCTTAAAACACATTTAGAATATATTAATAATATATTATAGCTAGACACCTATAAATACTAGATTCTTCTTTAATCTAAGGGACTACTAGAGCTTTATAATACCTATAAAAGTTAAAAGAAAAAGTTATATACTATTAAAGGACCCTATAAAAGTAAATAGTACTTTACTTTTAGTAGATAGAAAAAAAAAGAGAAGAGTAAAGAGTTTATTTTAGTAATTACTACTACCCCTTTAGGTTATATACTATTATATATTATTTATTAGAACCTGTTCTTAATATATTCTTAACGTGTTCCTACTTATTACTATTATTATCTCTCTCCCCCTCTCTAGTATCTTCTCTATCCTCCCTATCCTCCCTAGGCTCTATAAAAGTATACTACAAGTAGAACTAGGTGGTATTCTAGCAGGAATTAGCAAGGTCTACACTAGTATTAAAGTAATAGTCTTAAAATATATTAGGAACAGGTTAATAATATATTATAAATAACTTACTATAGCTAGGATAATTATAAGCGTAGATAGTATAAGGAACCTAATAACCTTAAATCCTTAGTAAGGTAGATATAGTAATAAAGTTAAGCTATAACAAGTTAGTAACGTGTTTTTAATAGGTTCTTACAGGCTATACCTTATTACTATTATAGCTACTATAAGTCTTCTTCTAAATTATATTTAGGAGGGTATTAGTATTTATAGGGGGGCCTATAGTAGCTACTAGCTAGGCTTAGAGAACTTCTATAAAATATATTAGTAATAAGTTTTAAATATATTCTAAATAACTTATAGTAAGGAGTATTCTAGTAATTATATATAACCTTTATATAGAAGTCTATATATATTAGTATAATAAGTTAAGAATAGGTTAATAATATATTTACTCTTTACCTTATAGACCTCTATTATAGAGGGCTAGCTAGTCTTCTTAACCTTACTAACCTTATAGTAGGCTATATTAAGCCTATAATCTTTTTTAGTATAGGTATATAGAGTGCCCCTAGTACCTAGAATAGCCTAAGAATATTAGAACCTATTTAGAATATATTTAGAACCTGTTCTTACTTTATATAAGGTGCCCTTATTATTAATCTTAGTATAGTAGTAGCGCTCTCTACTCTCTATCTTAACTACCCTATTAGGGCTAACTATAGGCTATGCCCTAATATTATCTAGGACGTAGCTAAGGGTAAGGTACTATTAATAGTGCTTCTATAACCTATTAAGAATATATTCTAAATATATTTTAATCTACTTACGTAGGATAAGAGGGATACGTTAGTAATAGGTATAGTAGTAGTAGCTTATAGTATTACTAGTATAGAATATGTTTAGAATAGGTTTAGAACGTGTTACAAAATCTTACAGTATAATATTTAGTTAACCTTGCTTAGCTAGCTAGTAGAGCTTAGCACAGCCTAACCCTATGCTAAATACAAGTTCACGCAGCGCTAATTCCATGGTTATATAAACTGCGCCCTCGCTACCTTGTTTTGGCTCCACTTCCACGTTAGCTATACTCAAACTCGGCTGAGAGCCTGTTATAGTATGGCTACTCAATTAAACAGTTGGGTAGCGACTCCATTTCGAACCAAGTCCATTTGGTTACCTAATACAAAGCCACGCCAACGCCTTAGGAGTAGAGCCACTGTGGCACTCTGTGAGCATGAGGATCACAGAGAATGGCAGAGCTGTCCACGGGTTGCTTCCTTTTTGCTCACATGAGCGTTGTCATACCCACTGCTGATACTGGCATCTTACTGTATACAGTACATACTCTAGAGTAGAACGCAGGCTGGAGATAATCGAAGAATCGAGCACCAGTCATTGCATGCTTCCACATGTACCCCACACAGCAGCCTGCCCTGTGGAATGGTACCTAGGTATGCTGCTGCCCATTTTCCTATCATGAAAGCGAGTATCAGGTTAGCCAATCTAACGTACCTGTAACGAGTACCTGGACCCGAGAAGCGGGAACATGTTCATGCCGTCCTACCCGCGGCCGTTCCGGATGCCAGCAACTTTCCAAATCCGCAATAAAGCATCGTGACTCTACCAACCCAAGGTCCGCTCTTCGCTGTACAACGAGTGCGCCAAACCGACACTGATGAACTACCGCAACCACGATCTATCTGCACGTTCCCTCGGACCGACTCGAGCACATCCTCCAGCGGCTCCACAGAACGATGAGAGGAAGCTGTCGAACCGTTGAACAAGCTCGAGTAGGAAATGTCTCCACCCCAACAAGTCGTGGTGGTGGTATATTTTTTTGCCTCCCCCTCACCCCACCACCCTCCCATCCAGGGCCCAGGCATTTGAACAGTCACCAGTAGTCCTCAGCACAGCACACCACCACCATCTTAGCAGAGAAAAACGCCTCTGACCGCACCTAATTCTCCGCAAATCCAGCCAGGCTTCCATGGCAGATCGTAGCCGCTGATCGTACCCAAAAAGCGCAGTTCGGTAACCCACCCACCCCCCCTCTCTCCAAGAGAAAGGATTCAAAATGCACTGCAGCAAACGCACATGCACATATGTAGAAAGCAGACATGCACCCGCGCACCATTCACACCTGTCATCACATGTTAACAAAGACGATAATGGATGACAATTCGTCTCTGGCTTGCCAATCAGTGCGGTGAACAACAGCCACTTAGTACTAAACCTGTTGATTAGGACAGGCATGATACCTACCTAATACACACACACCATGCAAGCGGGCCTCTGCAACTCCGCGATTGACGCTCTTAAATCTTAGCAGAGGCTCCAGTGCCACAGCAAACGACACCTAGACCCCTCCTCTCCTCCTCCGTGCCAAAATCCCACTCCTCGCCATGGGAGATAAGACCAAGTGGCCCCTCACACACACAGACACATACACACACACATCTAACAAAGGTACATACATCCTACTATAATCAAGCCAGACAAAGAGCGGTAAAGAAACCACCACACCCTTCGCCAGCTGTCCCGTCTTGTTCCTATGTCCCAAGCCCAACTGCGGGCCGCTCCCGGTGTCGGTACTCATTCCTCCGTCTCACAGCCCCTCCTCACCTCCAATCCTTTCCATGACATTCCCCCTTTCTGCCCTTTTTTTTTGCTGCAACACGCGGCACTGTCGCTGCTTAGCCTACTACTCTAGTACCCAGCTCACTCGTTTTCTCGGCGGCCACGCGACCGAGGCTGCGGGAGCAGCGGGTAGGGCCATGCTACGTGGACCGGGGTTGCTGGCTGGATTGGCTGGGTTTGCAAGCAAAGCAAGTCACGTTGGAATTGCTGGGTGGGGTGGCTTAGTTTGTTGGTGCTCTGCGGTTGTGTACTATGTGGTGTATATTTTCTCTCTCTCTTTCTTTGGCGCGCACGTGCATATGTGAGTATGACTGGTCTGCAGAATGGAGTTTTATTTTTCGTTAAAGGTGCGGGGCATGTTGGGGTTTGT